GAAATAAGTGGCGCAGCCATATGCATGATTTTTAGTGAGCAGGCTCAGTACTCCTTGGATGAGCTTGAACAGCCTCACCAGCATAAGCACAACACCTAGAGCAGCCACCGTAGTAGCCTCTGTAGCAGCAGCCGTAGCGACAATATCCTCTACCACGTCCTCCATATCCACCCCGATTACCATATCCACCACCGCGGTTACCATATCCACCACCGCGGCCACCATATCCACCAGGGCCTCCACCATACTGTTCAGTTTGCATCTCTTCTTCTTTCTCTGTTTCTTAAATCCCAAATTTTCGTGAATACATATACTTAACCGGGCATCTAATCAGTGTAAATCGGATTTCCTACCTAATTTATGAAGTACCTAATAAACGTGAATGATTTGTAATAATTTTGATTTATCCGTATTAAAGCAGACAAACTTTTTCGGAAGGGTTGATTGAATAATCAATCGTATCCTCGCACCTGGTAAGTGATTTAAGGAATAATAGATAGTTTTCAACTTTCAAAATACGTACCCTTGTTCTTATTTTCTGCCGAGTTTTTAGCTAGGTCCCTAGCTGCCACCTCAGAAGCGATGAAAAGAACAACAATGAGACTTAAGAAAAGCCAAGCTTTAGTAGCCATTGTGGATGATCTTTTCAAACACAAGTTTTGTATATCTTTGATCTTTTAAAATATTTATAGAGGAGGATTCGGTGAGTATAGTGTACCATGCAAAACCTTTATTTATAGAAAGTGAGGTGGAGTGTACTGTGTACATGTAAGTAAATACTACGTGCGATAATCTGCCAAAACAAGAAGATAGATTTTATTAAAATAAAAGATGTCAACCGGATAAACGCAAATATGTAATCGCAAGGGCCCATAGTACGGTTGGTTGTTAGATTGGTCATAAATTTTGAACTTCGTTCACTAGAGTAAGATCTATATATTATTTTATCATTTGATTGTAACCATTTTGATGGAAAAAACTAACAAATAAATTATGGTGAATTTGAACCAAATACAAATAAGTATTTGGCATTTTTACACTTGCAACATATAATATATATATATAATTGTTCGGATAGTTAGATGGATAACAAAGTGCTTTAGGATTCTTTTGCAAGAAGATAGATTTTATTAAAATAAAAGATGTCAACTGGTAAACGCAAATATGTAATGGCAAGGGCCCATAGTACGGTTGGTTGTTAGATTGGTCATAAATTTTGAACTTGGTTCACTGGACTACAGAGCTGTGCCTATTTACAAAAAAATTGAAACACTTGCTTAGGGCATCTAATTTGATTCACATAAAATTTAAGGGCATATTAAGAAATATTTTTATTTTATATGGTGTAAAGTTTGTTTTTTTTTTATAAATGTCTACCAAAACCCGAAACCCAAAATTATTTTTAACTATTCTTTCTTTGTATTTAACTTCAAACCTGTTAAGATTTAACTTTAATTATTATTTTCACTCATTTATCATTTGATACTCAATTTTTATCCCATTTACTGTTGTTTACACTTTACAAATTTAAAAGGAAATAACTTTTGCTATATAAAATGACGTATTTCGTATATCATAG